ATGAAGATCATTTTACTAAGGAGAACATTACATTTAAAACTGGCCTGACATAAGAAAAACATTTCCTGCCTATGAACACGAAATAGACCCCTGTAGTATATGAATCAACAACACTAACATTGTTGGGTGGAGAGCTACTGATTTAAGCCACAGTGAGATACCATCTTACCTCACTTACAATGGCTGTTGTCTGTTTCTTCCTCCAAGCTCTTTAATAGTCACTGAAATGGCTGAGGGATAAACAAGAGTAGATCATTTCTGTATGTTATGAGGAAGAGACTTTGGTATGTTATCTGTATGATACACCAATTTCCCCATTAATTTTTCTTCGGCTATAACATTTCATTGACACTCCTGTCTACAGATTGATTCACCAATGTCCTAAAGGCAGGTAGAGGTTGGTAAAAATGTCAAACTAACTGAAGCCTAAGAAGCATGGGATGGCTAGTCCCAGCATACTAAACACAAATGCAGGCACGGATACGGAGAAAAAGGAACTCATACCCTGTTGGTGGGAATGTAAAATTTGTGCAGCCACTATGGAGAGCAATAGGAAGTTCCTCTGAAAACTAAATGTAGATCTACAATAGGGACTAGCTGCCCCACTGTGCGGTACAACCATGCTTGATGTTACACTACTCACAGTGGCCATGAGACGGAATCAAACTAGTTAGTCACCAAAGGATGGAGCGGGAAAATGTGTGTACATGTATGGTGTAATATTATTTAACTGCAAAGAGTCTTTTTATTTGCAGCAAAACGGACAGAACTGGAGGATATTATGTAAATTGAAACACATCTTTCCCAGAAAGACCAACAGATGAATTCTGCTCTCTCTTATATAATTCTGTTCTCTCGTATGTATAGATATTTTAAAATGTTGATTGGCAAAATTGAAAAGGGTCAGGGAGGGGAATCACAGGATGTCAGAAACAAAAACTCAAGTACAGTTAGATAAAAGTAGTAAGTTCTGGTGTCCTACAGAACAGTAGGATAAATATAGTTTACAACTTATTATGTATTTTATAAATAGCTAGAATATAGAAGCTTAAGGCCCCTTACACAGTAATGATGAAAGAGGTAGAAATGTTAATCACTCTGATTTGATTGGTACATATTGCAACGAGGCACTGAAATATCTTAGTGTATTACGTACATATATACAATTGTTAGGTGTTAAAATTTTCAAAAAAATGTTTGAGATAGAAATGTTAACTACTTTGACTTGATCTTATATATAAATTTGCACAATTCAAATAATAACAAAAAAGAGCTATTGATTCCTCCGTAACCCTAATTTAAGTCACAAAAGCCATACAAGTAAATAGAGCATTATTTTTGTCTTTGGATGGCAGCAGGCACAAGTTAAAATCTGATTCCAAATCTCTCTTCCAATAGAAAATGGTGTGCATTAACTTACCCAACTACAAAATAGTATTTGAAAGGCACTTGTTTTTAAATTGTGATAATTTTGACTTTATACCTCTAAATGTTATTCATTAGGTAGTAGTTGTTTTCACATCATGTTAAAACATCGTCATTATCATATTGCTATTTATATAGAATTGGCTATGTGTCAGCCATTGTTCTAAATGCTTCACATATATTCATTCCATTAGTAGTTGTGCTGCACCTGGACACTTTTTGGAGCTAAATTTCCACATGTAAAAGTCATAGAAGCTTAATTATCTGTTCAGCTAATGTATATTTTCCAACCTGCATTTGTTATCTATTTTCAGCCTAACAACTTGTTACAAAATATAAAAGCATAAGGCGACAGACAGTGTATCTTGCAAAGTTTCTGAGGTTCAGGGGTTAGCTTTGTGATTCTAGTGGGGGTTCGTGGGGGGAGGAATAAGATCACCTAAGATCAAGGTGTAGAAGATCTATTGTGTAGAAACAGTTACGCTGCTAGGAAAATGCTTGTGCATGAACACACATACAGGCACATACTCATATTTCTCCTATTTGCTTCTGACAATAGTGTGTCGGTCACGAAATGAGAACAATAAAAGCTGCTGTAATGAGAAACAACTACCCTAATTCTAGGGTACTACCTATGCAATGGAGAAATCTGGGTGATTAAATGTAAATTTGAGTTTTAATTAGCTCTGGACACTTGAAGTTGAGATCTACGTTTCCTTGCTCACTGGTTGGTTTGTGCTGCAGTAATAAAAAGAGCTATTTTTAAAGTTCTTGCTATGCTGTACAGTTGGAGTTAGTGGGAAAATTAATATAATTAAAGGTAGCACTTGAAGGTAAGGTAATATATGGGTCAGCATAGTTTTAATTTAACAAATAATAAATTAATATTTATTAATATAATATAAATTAATATAAACATAACCGTAGGGATTTTTTTATTGTCAAAAGAGATCATAATGTTGCTATTTAAGTGACTATGAACCATACTTGCATTGATACATCTAGATGGATTTGAATGATGCTAAATGTTTTTTTTGGGGGGAGCAGGAATTATTTGGTCTTTTGTTTAAACCCACATTGGAAATTAATATGCTTCTAAATATGGTCATTAAGAATTTTATTACTTTAAAATGTGTTAACATTTTATCAATCAAAATAGACTATAGCTGCTATGACAGATAACAGATTATTTAGTCTGCAATATAAATCCTTCAGTTCCTTCCCTCTTCATTGGTGGTGTTGTTATCCTAGCTGCTAAGGGCAAGCCTGAACGACAGATCATTAGAAGTCAGAGGTACATTCCATCACCACCAGCCCTTTTCTGCTATTTCCTTCCAGTTTTGAATGTAAAAGACTATTAAATTGAGAATAAGCAGAGGCTGTTTATTCAGAGCATAGTAGAGTAAGGCAGCCAGCCAGAATCACTGGATTTTGGCAAAGACTCATAGTAGGTAGGGAGGTGGAAGGGCGTTATGGAGGGAGTGGGGAAAAGAGCAGCTGCTAGTGGATGACTAGATCCTCAATGCTCTCAGCAGGCTAGAGTAGGGCTGCAGCTCGGAGTTCTACTACCATCTATGATCTGGCCTGACAATTGTCCCTTTGTGGATTCATTATCCTATTTACCCACCAAACACTAGGGCACAACTTGAGGACCCAAGACAGGGAGCTATAAAAATATATTTGGCTGAAAAGAAATATTGGATGCAAAACACAAAGACAGAATCTAAAGAAACAAAACAAATAACTTTTGATTAAATGTCCTCAAAAGAGAGCATGTCATCTTCATGTTGGCAGAGAATTTGTGTTTTTTTTTTCTTTAATTGGCCCTAATAGCAGAGAAATAATCGCGGATTATAATTAAATGAAGGACTCCTAGGAAGTCATTTTAAAAGCTAATTTATAACACTGTATGCCAAAATATTTAAAGCAGATTCATTGTGGTTTGTGTTGATGTCTGATTGGCTTCCTATGACACGGGGTTGAGTCTCCCACAGCCACAGTGTGTGACCTTTGAGGGAATCTCTTGGCCTCCGTGGGATCCAGCAATGGAGATTCTGTGTGCAATGTGGAAAATGCACATGGTCCACTTTCGTGTTGTCCAGACTGGTTCTCTTAACTCTAGTTAAATTAAAACTTCTGCTACCGTCAGACTTCATTATAACTTAGAGTGTGGAGGAGGAGCTCTCTGGGATTCTTCGGAAGCGTCGGAGTGGCAAAGACATATTGTGCAGTTAATGAACCTCTCGGAAAGATGAAAGAAAACTACCCAGCAGCACAAAGTTGACTTACGTTTATTTTTGTATTTGTGCTTTTGTCCTCATTTGGTTTTCTTCTCCCCAGCCCACTGCCATATGCTGCTGGGACTCTGCTGTAATTATCCTGCCCACAGATGAAACACTGAAGGAAACAAAGCAAACGGAGCCCCACAACCACAATGCAGGGCTCTGCTCTCAGCAAAATGCCTACAGTGATTTGAGCACCACACAAGACAACTCCACGTGGAAAAAGATGGTGAGACTTTTCCATGTGCACTGATAGCGTCCTCATCTAATCTACAACTCACCTGTTTGAGCCTGAATTGAAATCTTGGAGATAAGTAGAAAAAAGTATTCACCCAAAGCTGCAAGTTAGAAATACCTGGAGCGTTTTAAAAAAATATCCAGTATCCAGACCTACTAGGACCAAGTTCTTAGAAGTCGTGAGGGTAGAACACAGGCACAGGAGATGTCCCTAATCCTTGCCTCATTCATATGTTGATATGTAGCAGGCATCTGATGTGCAGGCAAGATTGCAAACACTGAGTTATATTATTTCAACATATGAGGTAATACTACAACAGTGGATTCTATCGATATTTTCATTTGTGGTAGCTCTATTCATGAGTTATTAATTAGGAGTCATTCTGTGCTGGACTAGTGAAGACAAACTATTCCATTGATTTTCAGGTCAAAACTCAGGACTACAGAATTCAAGCATTATAAAGTGAAGCTTAAGGGGTTTAATTTTTCAAAAAAGTTGCATCGGTTCAAGAGACTCCTAGAAGTTAGATTTAATTGTTCTGACACCATAGGTCAGTTTGGTCAAGCAGAAATAATCCTGTCATATTTCCTATGGTGTGTGTGATGCTGTGTTTTTTCAAGTCTACACACTGCCCTAAAATAAATCAGGAGAAGTTACTTAGCAAGTAGTTTAGAAGGCAATAATTTACAATTAAGCAGTTGGCAATCTGAAAGCCAACAACCAGGAATATGTTTTTTTAAGATCTGATGACAAATTACAATACAGGTTTAATGCTCTATTTTTCATTTATTGCACATTTGGAGAAACTTTTGTCAAAATTTATTGTATGATAAATTGGGAATAATTGTATCACATTTTTTGGGTTAAATTCAATCAGTGACTGTTAAGAAGAAGAAGAAGAAGAAGAAGAAAAAGGTATAAAATAAAGAAAATTATAAAGCAAACTTTAGGCTAATTGTGGAATACATAATAAAGTGATTCACCTGTCATTTTTTCCAATAAATTTTTTTCAGGTGAAGGTGATTTTAATATATTAAACATCTCCCCAAGTGCAAATAATTCTTTTAGCTTTAAAAACTGGCTTTTTTTCACTGTTGACTGTGACAATGTTCGTGTCAGTTAATGGAAGATTTTCAATTAGCAATAATCGCGCCTCGGATAAACCTCATTGGCTACGATACTGCCACTGCGCAAAGCTAGTTAATGGAAGATTAAAGCTTCTTAACATGTACTTCTATAGACATTTGAAAATTATTTTTGTAGAATCATGACTTCTTTTAATTTACCAAATTTAGATTATTTCCTGTGGGATTTTATTTTCTATCCCTGAGGGTAGAATTTAAAGCAGTGACAGAATGTATCTAATGTGTAAAAACACTGAAATTCACCTTCACTTGCTTTGGATCATGTGATCTCCCCAAAGGAGACATATGTCACTTTGGCCAAAGTGCTGTGCTTGCTGAAGCTAAGAGGGGCTCGCTGGTTTTTAGGATAGTACAGAATTGGTTTCCACTTGTAGATTATATGCTTCTTTTCCTCTCACCTGAGGGGCCTTAACAATATCAAGGCATATATTTGATCAAAACCTTCACTGTGAGAGGCTTTGTTCTAAGTTAGAGTATGTTTTAAAAGGAAATGTCTAAAAAGTCTGTATCTCAAAGTCAGAAATAAGGTAGCTAAACTATTTCAGGATATATATCAACTTAAGCTATGAACTAAAAATAAAATAATGATGAGAATCGTGTCTTCTCCAAAAGAATAAGGATGAAAACTGACAGCAGAGTGAGAACTCGGTGAACATTAATGTCTTAAAAAGAACGCATAGAATCTACTAATCTAAAACTTAGCAGGCAAGTCCTTGTTAATATGAACAAGAGGAGTTGAGATACAAACTGTGTGCTGAGCTGAGTGGCACTAGACACTAGGGCCCCAATACCTGCAGACAGGCCTGGCTGCATAACTTCAAGGCTCACCAAAAAATGAAAACATGAAGACTCTCAGTAAACCATGTTTAAGAATTTTAAGAGATTTGGGAGTGGCACCAATAAGATAGCAGAATAAGACTTTCTAGTGCTGACCCACTAAATGAAACTCCAATTTGAGCAATTAAGCATGTGCGAAAATATCTTTAAGAGAACTAAAGATTCCAGGTGGGAGCAGGAAGCCCCTGTATGAGGCATAGATGAAAGGAGAGAGGCATTGACAAGGGTAGAAGGGGCAGTCTCTTATTACCTATGTCACTCTTCTCCCAAGCCAGGGCAGCACAGCCATCAAGGATACCCTTAACATGGGGAGTGAGCATCGGACTTTACGGGACTCAGGCCCCAGGGTGCCCCAGTGAACATCAATGCCAGGAAAGCTCCTTAGCTCCTGGCGCAAGACTGGACTCTGCTGACTTAGGCTTCAGGATCATTCTAGAACCAACCAATTCCTGCAACCCCAGGCTCACCCTCACTGGCTCAGACTCCAGGTCCAGCTCGACACCAACCCATCCATGTGGGCTTGGACCCCAGACTGGCCCCAGTCTCGGGCTTCAGGCTCACACATTGCTACACCTGTGCATGTTACCCCAGACTCCAGAGGATCTAGGATCAAGGCCCACTCTCCTGGATCCATGGCCCAGGCCTATTTCAATTTACCCTGGTGCTAGGCCAGCCTTGCAGACTTGATTTAAAAATGGATAAAGGATCTGAATGGACATTCTTTAAAAGAAGACCTACAAATTGCCAGCATGCATATGAAAAGATGTCTATCATGAGTCATAAGGGCAATGGAAGTCAAAGCCATGATGATGTATCACCTCATCTCTGCTAAAATGGCCATGATCTAAGCAACTGACATCAAGTGTTAGAAAGCCGATAGAGGTCAGGGAACCCAGGACTCTTGTGCACTGTTGGTGAGAGTATAAGTTGATACAGCCATTATGGAAAACTGCAGATATTTCTCCAAAATTAATATTTACCATATGATCCAGCAATGTCTTTTCTGGATATGTATCCCAAAGAAATAAAACCACTTAGTGGAGACATAACTCCACACTTTTGTTTATTTGGTATTACTTAGAATGCAAGAGCAAAATATGTGGAAAGAAGCAAAGTGTCTACCGATGGATGAAAGGATATAGAAAATACAATATACAACAGGCAATAGAATATTATCCAATATTTGTGTTTGCAGCAAAATGGATAAACCTGGAGGACAATAATCTATACACAGAATAACAGATACTGCATGATGTTGTTTGTGAAGGTGAAATTGTAAACAATCAAACTCAGAGAGAAGAATGGTGTGTGAGCAGGCCTGGGGGAATAGGGAGATATTGGTCCAAGGGCTCAAAGTAACAGTTAGGCAGGATAAATTCTTGAAATCTAACGTATGATGTGGTACTACAGGTCATATCACTGTACTCTACCATTCAAGTTTACTAAGAGTCTAGATCTTAAATCTTCTTGTCCTGCATAGACACACACAAAATAGTAGCCATATGAAGTGATGTATACGTTTATTAGCTTGATTATGGTAATAATTTCTTATTTTATAATGTATTGGTATATTAAAGCATCACATAGTATACTATAAATAACCAATATTTATTTTTCAGGTATATTTCAATAAAGCTAGAAAAAAAGTTTAAAGAAGAAATATATAAGACATTTTATACCAAAGGAGAGCGAACTGGAGGAATAGTAAGAACCTTGTGTTCTGAGGAGATGAGTCAGTGACAGGACAGAAACTGTACCTTCTTGGACCAGGCCAATTTGGATGAAGAGTGAATGGTGGGCTAATGATAGAAACATGAGCTAAGTTTTGCTTAGGGCCACAGAAAAGAACAAGATGTCACAGCTTTTCTTGAGTCATAGGCATAAGCTGTGCTGTGGCAGTCTGTAAGTCCTCATGGGTTTATTCCATATTAAGTCTAAAGTTGTAGATGCAGAAAATAAGTTCTTTCTGGGAAACTGAAGTGTTGTGAGCCCTTGAAAAAAAATGAAGCCTGAGATGCCGACAGCTGAGAACTAAGCTGAGTGCCAGGCCTGCCTAAGTGTGGGCCCTGGAAGACCATGCAAGCTGCAGGCAGGTGAAGCCAGTCCTGTCCAGGTGTGAATCTCAGACACCAAGCATGAGTAGTTTGGGTGGAACTGGAGAGCTTCATTTGCACAGTGCTAAAATCCACTGGGGAACAGATATCAAATTACTCACGAATTTGAATCTTTAGGGATTTTTCTTTTTACTGTTTATCTCCTAGGTTGTAAATAATTATTGGGTTTGGTGGATAAGATAGTGAGAGCGTTGCTTAGGAAAATGAAACTGTAATTAGTGAGACTTGGATAAGTTGCAACCCATGAACAACTGGAGGCAGAACAGTAAAAGATAAAACTGCTCCAGGAGTCTGGGAAGAAGGAGAAAAAGATCTGAGCAAAAGTTCTGTGTAGGGACACATACGTTATGCATAGGATAGAGATGCTGGGATTCTTTTACGTTGCTGTGGAGAGGGTAGAGGGTATTGCTGCACTTCTGCAAATGTTACAAACAGAGTTGTCACATGACCTAGCGTTTTCCACTCCTAGCTGAGAGCTCAAGAGAAAGGATAATACACACACACACACACACACACACACACATGCACACAAAGTCTCATACGTGAATTTTTATAGCCACACTATTCATAAATAGCCAGAAAGTGGAAGCAGCCAAATGTCCATCAACTGCTAAGTGACAAAACAAAGTGTAATATATCGGTGAATGAGAAAGATTTCATTCAGAATAAAAAGGGGTGAAAGTACCGATACTTGCTGTGCTCTAAATGAATCCTGAAGACATTATCCTCAGCCGCAGAAGTTGAATTTGTTGATTTATTCATTTTTAAATTTAAATTTTATTAGCACATCTTTGCAGTACATTATGATTACACTCCTCATGGGAGTGTAAACTGCACACACGTTGCTGTGTGTTTGAGAAAGAGGTCCAATGTGACACACGCATAGATTTTCTTTCACTGAGTGTGAGGAGTGTACGATTTCTTAAGCACTGCTGAATTCTCAATCCATACCACAACAATGGGCAAACTCTAGTCCATGGGTCAAATCCAGCCTATCCACCAATGGTTTTACTACTGCCAATACAGCTACATTTATTGACAAAGATGAAAATGTAAGTAATAATGACATATAGAAATTATATGCAATTTTAATCTCAGCATCTGTAAGTGGTTCAGTTGTTCCCACTGTGTAATTTTTGAGCTACAATTCCAACTTCAAGCTTGGGAATATGGCAGTCTTTCCTTATGCCTGGTTTTTGTTTATACAGTTTGTGACCTGTGGTCAATTGCAGTCTGCAAATAAACAATTCATACATTTTAAACTGTGTGTTTTTCTGAGGAGCAAGATGAAATTTCATGCTGCTCCACTGCCCCACGCATGATAGAAATCATGCCTTTGTCCTATGTGCTCACAATATATTCTCCACAGTATGTACAGAACTTACTGGCGGCTGCGGAGGAGCTGGCATGGGTCCTGGTTATCAGCTCAGCAGTGGCCATATCAGTATTGCAACGTTTGTGTTCAGGTAATCCCTACATAGAAGCCTAAGGCTACACCACAATGCCTACATCAGTCATCCCATCTAGCAGGTATTGTATCATCTCAGTGTGACTAGAAGGACAAGGGCTGTACAGTAAGAAATTTAGAGATGATGCGCCTGTAACTTTTATTAAAATATATTCTTATCATTCTTCCATTTTGTTATTAATTATTATTAATCTTAGTGTTCCTAACTTATAAATTAAACAATATGGATATGTTTGTACAGTAAAAGACACAATATAGAGTTAGGTATTGTTCATGGTTTCAAGCACTCACTGGGCATTTCAAAATGTACTCCCTGAGGATAACGAGGGAATACTGCAGTTGCAATAAAGACATATAGTTCCCAAAGCATAAAATATTAATTCTCTGAATTTTACAAGAAAAGTTGGCTTGTCCATCATCTCGAAAAAAGTGAGCACATGGTAAATATTTAAAGATCATTTGTTGAGTGAAGGCATAAAGGGGGAAGGTAATGCATTTCATTCGTGATGTAGTAAGTTTGAAATTCAGCGGACCATCTGACAAATATCTATCAGGCACTGGGAGAGGGGACACTGAAGCACGACCAAAGGAGACAGAATAGACGTGTTGGTTTGGTAGTCGTTCCCACACAATG